ACATCAGAGACTGTGTCCCATTTTTTAAAAACTGCAGCAATGTGATTTTCCTTTCTGTTACGTAAACATTTCTGAAATTTTACTTCTGCTATCTCTATATGATTATGAAGTTTTAAATCTATAATATTTTACATTTATGCTATTTTTTGGTATAGCTCTGCAAGACCAAATTTTATAATTAATAATTTTTTTAAAAGCAAGTTAAATCCTTACAATAAACACTCATTTATACCTAAATGGTATATTCCAAGATTGAATATCTTTTTTTTTTTTTTTTTTTTTTTTTGCCGGACTTTCTCTGCAATAGTCCATCACGTGCCTCTCACATTCTATCTCAGGGATCCCAGACCTAGATAGACACTGCTTATGAAGTACAAGAGATCATCTAATCCAGTAACTATCCCATTCTATCCCAAGAGAAAATTTAACATGCCTTAGATTCACCACGATAAAAAGCTGTGCCTTCTGATCCCTGGGCAATGAGTTTCCACTGTGAAGTCCATCTCTCATATGACAGGAATTTAAGTTTTAATCCAATTAACAGACCATTTTCAAGAGCTGCTGGTGCTAAAAACCACCTTGTGCTTTTATTTTTAAAATGAAAATCACTTTTGAGGCTGGGCATGGTGGCTCACACCTGTAATCCCAGCATTTTGGGAGGCAGAGGCAGGAGGATGGCTTAAGCCCAGGAGTTGAAGACCAGTCTGGACAACAAAGAGAGACCCTGTCTCTACAAGGAGTTAAAGAGAAAACTTTGGTGGTGGCATGTGCCTGTAGTCTCAGCACTCCCAGTTCTGAGAGGGAAGGATGGCTTGAGCCCGGGAGGTCAAGGCTGCAGTCAGCCTTGTTTGTGTCCCTGCACTCCAGCCTGGGCAATAGAGTGAGATCACGTCTCGAAAACAGAAACAAAGACGAAAGAAGAAAAGAAAATTACTTTTGATATTTGGGTTTCCTGTCTTTTGAAAAATGAAAATCTTGGGTCCCCAAAATTACTAAACTAACAGGAGAAGTCAAGCTGGGAACTGCTCAAGGAAAATCTGCCTCCCATTCTGTTCAAAGCCATCGCGTTGCTCACTGAAATAGAAGCACATCGGATGGCCTCCTTTGGAAAACCCTATCAGAAACTCAAAAGAATGCAACTATTTGTCTGTCACCTACCTGAGACCTGGAGCCCCGTCCCTGTTTCAAGCTGGAGCTGTCCCCACTTTTCTGGAAGGAACCAATGTACTTCTTACATATGTTGATTGATATCTCATGTCTCCCAAAAATGTATAAAACCAAGCTGTGCCCCCACCACTTTGGGCACATGTCATCAGGACTTCCTGAGGCTGTGTCACGGGTGTGCATCCTCAGCCTTGGCAAAATAAACTCTCTAAATCATTTCAGATATTTGTGGTTCATACTTTACATTGTAAACATAAACTTTTTTAGAACGGTTTTTGAGGTACAGAATTATTAGATAGATAATACAGAGAGTTGTTGTACCTCTTACTCAGTTTTAACTACTACTAGTGCTTTGTGTTAGTATGGGGCACTGGTCACAGTTAACAGGCCGACACTGATATATTATTAGTATCTAAATCTGTATTGTGTGCAGCTTTGCACAGGTTTCCCCTGTCATTTTCTGTTCCACAATTACATCCAAGATCCACCTAACATTTACTCACTGTGTCTCCTTGGGCTTTTCTGGGTTGCGACCCTTTCTCAAAACCAAGCTTTCCTTGTGTTTAAAGACCATAATCACTTGTCAGGAGTACCCCTCAGATATTTTGCAGATTATTCCTCAGTTGATATTTGTGTGATATTTCCCTGAAAATTAGATTTGGGCTAATGTGTTTTTAGGAGGAAGACTACGGAGGTAAAATCCAAAGTTCATCACATCCTGTCAAGGGTACATCCTATAATATGCTTTATTGCTGTTGATGTTGACCTTGGTCACCTGGCTGGAGATAGGGTTTGTCAGGTTTCTCCACTGTAAAGTTATTTTTATTCTTTTCCTATCCATATTGAACTATTTGAGAGAAAGTCACTAAATGCAGCCCACACTTAAAAAGCGGGAAGTTGTTCTCTACCTCCTTAAGGACGGAGAAGCTACATAAATTATTTGAAATGCTTCTGTATACATATTTGTGTATTTTCATCGATTCATTTATTTATTTAACATTTATTTTTATCTATATGGACTTAAAGATATTTATTGCATATTTTAGATAATGACCCAATACTGCCTTTTTTATTTTGCTGCTCAAATTGTTCTAGCTTTGGCCACTGACAGCTTATCTTTTTGGCATACTTCCATCATTGTGTGTGTGTGTGTGTGTGTGTGTGTGTTTCAGTACTTTCTCGCTTTTTGGCACTACTAGATGCTCCAGCTTATCTTGTACATTTCCTCCCTCAGTCCTAGGGAGTCCAGTCATTTATCCAGAAACCCTGGTTCTTTCATTGGAGAATGATTTTAGAAACCAAGACTGGGGTGGTAGGTGTGTTAATTGCTACTGAATGTCATTGCTTCAAATATGTTTGTGTGTGTATATATGTATATATCCATATATATGAGTATATATATTCATATGTGTGTGTGTGTGTGTGTATATATATATATATATATATATATATATATGAATATGAGCCAAGCATGGTTGCTCATACCTGTAATCTCAGCTACTTGGGAGGCTGAGGTGGGAGGATCACTTAAGTCCTGGAGGTTGAGGCTACAGTGAGACATTATCTCACAACTATACTCCAGCCTAGGCAACAAAATGAGACTTTGTCTCAGAAAAAAAAAAAGGAAATGAATGAATAAACAGAAATATATCAACATTTCTGTGTGTAGACATATGTATATATAGTAAGGTAACCATAAGTTCGTACTGATGTCTTCAACTTTAATGTATTATGCATGGATTATTCTAGCCTCTTTCCCCAGCTTATCGGTAAATTGCCACACCAGCAGTGAGAAACCTGGCTCCCATCATCCATTTACTTTACTGTTCATTTCCAGTGTACATATATAGTGGTTTCAGAATTGTTAACCTGTATGCTTGTGGAAAGCAAGTTTATCAACTAGAGTACAATGCATATGCATAGCTCCTTTAGCTTGTGATCTTACAAACTCCATTCATTTTCAGTTAGTTAGGTCAGCACCTTATTTCCTCCCCCTTCGGTGAGGTTTCATACATCTATAGCACATTTATGTTCTTTTTTGTATATTGCCTTTCATTTTAGGATTCCTCAACTTCCTAATTGTTTTTTTCATTTACATACATTGAAGTTTATGCTGTGGTATAAAATTCTACGAGTTTTGACAAAGGCTTAATGTCTTGCATTTGCCATGATAATATCACACAGAATAGTTTTACTGCCCTAAAATATTCCCTGTGCTTCAAACTAGCAACCCACCCTCCACTTCCAAACTTCTGAAAATTGTGCTATTTTGAAACTCTAGACTGGCGCTAAACGTCTCCAGAATTTGACATCAAAATGAAAGTCATGGGAGATAGAATATTTCTGTCATAAAGGAACTATTTTAAACAAAGTGGACATTTAATGAATGGTGGTGTCATTTTTACCTGGTGAACTTTATTTTTACCTGGTTAGTATTTGTCTGAATAAAAATAAAGTACAGTATCTCATGTTGGAGAAAAATATAATTAAAAGAGGTAGAGATGATGAATGAATTTGAGAGATAAAGGGTGAACTGACAGATCATATTGATTTTATGTTTCTAATTTTCAAAATACTATTGAAAACATTTTCTTGGGTCATAGCTCAATAAATTTAAAGTTGTCACTTATTTTGTTCTAGATAAGAACCATCTTTTCTTTCCCCTCTCCTTTCTTTTTACCATTCAACCTCTCCTTTCTTCTCATCTTTACTTCCTCCTATATAAACGTTTACCCATTAAGTCCCTATTTTATGCAAGTCATATAATAGATGTTAGGAATGCATAGGTGAAAAAAGTTATCCATAACCTCAAGGACCTTTCTTATTACTTTTGAGGAAGGAAGAGATAAAAGTATAATCATCACATGGTAATTATTCTATTGGTGTAATAGGCACATAAAGAAATAGAGGAGTAACTCTGCCTTGGAGGATCAGGGAAGACTTCCAGTAGAAGCAAAGTGACCCCAGAGCCTTGGAGGAGGAGTGTTAATGTTTAAGGCAGATAAAGAAATGCAATGTAGAGCTACCAGTTAATTCTAGCTGGAGTGGTACAGGGGGCATTGAGAGACTGGTGTGATAGAACACGTTAGACAAGTATGGATCATGAAGGGCTCTGAGCTTAAATCTTACCCAGGGAATCATGAATAGAGCCACTGAAAAATTATAAGCAAGGTAATAATGACATCATATGGCATCTTAAAAAGCATGCTCTGGCAGGTGACTGGTGGGAGAATTAGACAAGATATGAAACCTGATCCTGGAAAGCTTCCCAGATGGCTAGTACCACAGTCCAGGTGGGAGATAATGAGGATCTGCGTTAGTTCAGTAACAGAAAGGAAAGAGCAGCAAGGAAGTCTGTGAGAAATATGTTAACAAACATTAGAAAGTAAGAAGGGAAAAAAGGCAGGGAAGTAGTACTAGAGAGTAACATCGAAGATGTTCTCTATATCCCATTCATCTTCATTCTCATTAAAGGGAATTTGAAACTTGATGGCAAAGAAGCACATTTTATGCAATTTTATATTGACTATTTCATAATTATGTTTCTAAGAATGAGTGTCAACACTTCCATAAAAATATCGATTCATGAGGAACACAGTTCCGATATTTCTTGACTCTAAATGTTATTAAAAGAAGAATGTAAAAAATGAGTTCAGAATTTGTAGTGTGTCTGTGACATGAAAATGCATTTAAACTTAGAGTTCTTCTTTTTTTAATGAGGAAATTATTCTGATGATTTTTGAAGATGCAATTCATAAAGATTGAAGTGAACACCCAAATTAATGTTCATGATATCAAAACAGAGTTAAACCTAAAGTAAATTTGTTCTTCGGCAGGATGAATCCTTAAAGCAACTGCAGGTAGTTCATCAACCATGGATCTTGCCAAGTGACACAGAAAGTGAAGGAGTGGAAGCAGAACAAGAGAAACGTGAGTAGACACTATTATTCATTGACAAATTTCTTTCACCAGAAGGAAATCGACAATAAAGGCATTTCACTTTCATAGCAATAAACAACTTCTATTAAAAAAAAAAATCCAGACAATTAGGAACCCATGTAAAGACAAGCTATTCTTTAGGTCTATGTTTTGATTCAGCAACATCTTAATTTTGGTGCAAAGACTCATAAACTAACTTTGAAAAAAAAAAAAGGAATTATTCTTCCTGAAGACCAACATAGTCTGTCTGATCAGAATATGAATCTTCTATAAATAGTGTAGAGTTAGATGAGTGATAATTTGTAATTATATTCAAAATTTCAAAATATGTCAGGATCAGCTGATTATTATATATGAAATTATCCTCATTAAATGAATATGTTTACATTTGTAAATACTGTTGTAAGTTCACAAAACAAGTTAATATTATAAGACAAATAGACTAATAGCTTTGGTTTAATTTGCTGTCTTTAATAACGATAAATCAATCACAATACTAATGCCATGGCTCAGTGCCTGCTCTCCAGGGTTTATTGAAATTGTAAGACATATGGGCCCAGAAATCTAGTTGAGAGGTTAGTATCAAAGTTTATTTATTTATTTTTACTAGTGGTAGCCCTCAGATAGGAATGACAATTACATGTGATAATGTAGCTCTCAAGATAATTGGTGTGAAATGATGAATAAATAATTCTCCAATACTTATATGTTACACAGGTAGCATTATAACCATGCATCTGGGGGAATCCAGGAAATTACACTTCCAGGTTAAAAGGCATTTTAAAATGTTCTATCCCACTTCCATAGCTGAAGGCTTATGTGGCCAGAGGGAGCACAAGCATGAGAGTGAATGCTCAGGTTAGAGGGCGGGGATGGAAGCCAAGGTTCACTCAGCTGTCACATTCAGAAATAGCGTGAAAAACACAGTGGTACTTTACAGATTCCATTGAAGGAAAACAGCACTCATCTTCTATAGAAAACAACTGATAAAGGCACAGAAGTAGAAGATACTTTAAGCAAGTACAAAAGCAAAGAGTATTTTGGAAGTCCCTTAATGCAAGGAATTCTTTTTTTTAAATTGCATTTTAGGTTTTGGGGTACATGTGAAGAATATGCAAGATTGTTGCATAGGTACACACACGGCAGTGTGATTTGCTGCCTTCCTCCCCTTCACCTATATCTGGCATTTCTCCCCATGCTCTCTCCCCACCTCCCCACCCCCTGTCCCTCCCCCATTTCCCCTTAACAGACCCCAGTGTGTAGTGCTCCCCTCCCTGTGTCCATGTGTTCTCATTGTTCAACACCTGCCTATGAGTGAGAACATGCGGTGTTTGATTTTCTGCTCTTGTGTCAGTTTGCTGAGAATGATGGTTTCCAGGTTCATCCGTGTCCCTACAAAGAACACGAACTCATCATTTTTAATGGCTGCATAATATTCCATGGTGTATATGTACCACATTTTCCCTGTCCAGTCTATCATTGATGGGGATTTGGGTTGTTTCCAGGTCTTTGCTATTGTAAACAGTGCTGCAATGAACATTTGTGTGCATGTGTCCTTATAGTAGAATGATTTATAATCCTTGGATATATACCCAGTAATGGGATTGCTGGGTCAAATGGAATTTCTATTTTTGGTCCTTAAGGAATCGCCACACTGTCTTCCACAATGGTTGAACTAACTTACACTCCTACCAACAGTGTCGAAGTGTTCCTATTTCTCCACATCCTCTCTAGCATCTGTTGTCTCCAGATTTTTTAATGAGCGCCATTCAAACTGTCGTGAGATATCTGAATGTAGTTTTGATTTGCATTTCTCTAATGACCAGTGATGATGAGCATTTTTTCATATGTTTGTTGGCATCCTGTATGTCTTCTTTTGTAAAGTGTCTGTTCATATCCTTCACCCACTTTTGAATGGGCTTGTTTGTTTTTTTCTTGTACATCTGTCTTAGTTCTTTGTAAATTCTGGATATCAGCCCCTTCTCAGATGGGTAGATGGCAAAAATTTTTTCCCTTCTGTTGGTTGCCAATTGACTCTAATGACTGTTTCTTTTGCCGTGCATAAGCTGTGGAGTTTGATTAGGTCCCATTTGTCTATTTTGGCTTTTGTTGCCAGTGCTTTTAGTGTTTTGGTCATGAAATCCTTGCCTATGCCTATGTCCTGAATGGTTTTGCCTAGATTTTCTTCTAGGATTTTTATGGTGTTAGGTCTTATGTTTAAGTCTTTAATCCATCTGGAGTTAATTTTAGTGTAAGGTGGCAGGAAGGGGTCCAGTTTCTGCTTTCTGCACATGGCTAGCCAGTTTTCCCAACACCATTTATTAAACAGGGACTCCTTCCCCATTTCTTGTTTTTGTCAGGTTTGTCAAAGATCGGATAGTTGTAGATATGTTGTATTTCCTTGAAGGCCTCTGTTCTGTTCCATTGGTCTATATCTCTGTTTTGGTACCAGTACCATGCTGTTTTCATTACTGTAGCCTTGTAGTATAGTTTGAAGTCCGGTAGTGTGATGCCTCCTGCTTTGTTCTTTTTGCTTAGAATTGACTTGGCTATGCAGGCTCTCTTTTGGTTCCATATGAAGTTTAAGGTGTTTTTTTCCAGTTCTGTGAAGAAGGTCATTGGTAGCTTGATGGGAATAGCGTTGAATCTGTAAATTACTTTGGGCAGTATGGCCATTTTCACGATGTTGATTCTTCCTAACCATGAACATGGAATGTTTCTCCATCTGTTTGTATCCTCTCTTATTTCATTGAGCAATGGCTTGTAGTTCTCCGTGAAGAGGTCCTTTACGTTCCTTGTTAGTTGTATTCCTAGATACTTTATTCTCCTTGTAGCAATTGGGAATGGCAGTTCGTTCTTGATTTGGCTCTCTTTAAGTCTATTACTGGTGTATAGGAATGCTTGTGATTTTTGCACGTTGATTTTGTATCCTGAGACTTTGCTGAAGTTGTTTATCAGTTTCAGGAGATTTTGGGCTGAGATGATGGGGTCTTCCAGATATACAATCATGTCATCTGCAAATAGAGACAATTTGATTTCCTCCTTTCCAATTTGGATACCCTTTATTTCTTTTTCTTGCCTGATTGCTCTGGCTAGAACTTCCGGTACTATATTGAATAGGAGTGGTGAGAGAGGGCATCCTTGTCTAGTGCCAGATTTCAAAGGGAATGCTTCCAGTTTTTGCCCATTCAGTATGATATTGGCTGTTGGTTTGTCGTAAATAGCTTTTATTGTTTTGAGATACGTTCCGTCAATACCTAGTTTATTGAGGGTTTTTAGCATAAAGGGTTGTTGAATTTTGTCGAAAGCCTTCTCTGCATCAATTGAGATAATCATGTGGTTTTTGTCTTTGGTTCTGTTTATGTGGTGAATTACGTTTATGGACTTGCGTATGTTGAACCAGCCTTGCATCCCCGGGATGAATCCTACTTGATCATGGTGGATGAGCTTTTTGATATGCTGTTGCAATCGGTTTGCCAGTATTTTATTGAAGATTTTTGCATCTATGTTCATCATGGATATTGGCCTGAAATTTTCTTTTCTTGTTGAGTCTCTGCTGGGTTTTGGTATCAGGATGATGTTTGTCTCGTAAAATGATTTGGGAAGGATTCCCTCTTTTTGGATTGTCTGGAATAGTTTCAGAAGGAATGGTATCAGCTCCTCTTTGTATGTCTGGTAGAATTCAGCTGTGAACCCATCTGGACCTGGGCTTTTTTTGGGTGGTAGGCTCTTTGTTGCTGCCTCAACTTCAGACCATGTTATTGGTCTATTCAGGGTTTCGGCTTCTTCCAGGTTTAGGCTTGGGAGGATGCAGGTGTCCAGGAATTTATCCATTTCTTCCAGGTTTACTAGTTTATGTGCATAGAGTTGTTTGTAATAATCTCTGATGATGGTTTGGATTTCTGTGGAATCTGTGATGATATCCCCTTTATCGTTTTTTATTGCATCAATTTGGTTATTCTCTCTTTTCTTTTTTATTAATCTGGCTAGTGGTCTGTCTATTTTGTTGATCTTTTCAAAAAACCAGCTCCTGGATTTATTGATTTTTTGAAGAGTTTTTTGTGTCTCTATTTCCATCAGTTCTGCTCTGATCTTAGTTATTTCCTGTCTTCTGCTAGGTTTTGAGTTTTTTTGATCTTGCTCCTCTAGCTCTTTCAATTTTGATGATAGGGTGTCAATTTTAGATCTCTCCTTTCTTCTCATGTGGGCACTCATTGCTATATATTTTCCTCTAGAGACTGCTTTAAATGTGTCCCAGAGATTCTGGTATGTTGTGTCTTCGTTCTCATTGGTTTCGAAGAACATCTTTATTTCTGCCTTCATTTCGTTGTTTATCCAGTCAACATTCAAGAGCAAGTTGTTCAGTTTCCATGAAGCTGTGCGGTTCTGAGTTAGTTTCTGCATTCTGAGTTCTAACTCGATTGCACTGTGGTCTGAGAGACTGTTTGTTATGATTTCTGTTCTTTTGCATTTGCTGAGGAGTGATTTATTGCCAATTATGTGGTCAATTTTAGAGTAGGTGTGATGTGGTGCTGAGAAGAATGTATATTCTGTGGATTTGGGGTGGAGAGTTCTGTAAATGTCTATTAGGTTGGCTTGTTCCAGGTCCGTATTCAGGTCCTGGATATCCTTGTTGATTTTCTGTTTGGTTGATCTGTCTAATATTGACAATGGGGTGTTAAAGTCTCCCACTATTATTGTGTGGGAGTCTAAGTCTCTTTGTAAGTCATTAAGAACTTGCCTTATGTATCTGGGTGCTCCTGTATTGGGTGCGTATATATTTAGGATCGTTAGCTCTTCTTGTTGCAGTGATCCTTTTACCATTATGTAATGTCCTTCTTTGTCTCTTTTGATCTTTGTTGCTTTAAAGTCTATTTTATCAGAGATGAGAATTGCATCTCCTGCCTTTTTTTGCTCTCCATTTGCTTGGTAGATCTTCCTCCATCCCTTTATTTTGAGCCTTTGTGTATCCTTACATGTAAGATGGGTTT